GTTTCCGCCGCATCCTTTCCCCCTTTCCCCTTCTTTTCCTTCCCCTCGTCCTCCTCCTCCTCCAGCTTCTTCCCTTTCAGTTCCTGCTGCATGTGCTCGTCCTCGCTCTCCTCCTTTTTCTTTCTTTCAGCGTTGGCCAATGTCGACATGTCACTCCCCTCCTGCATTTTCCTTTTCCTCCCGCTCGTCCTCCTGCTCTGCCGCCACCTCCTCCTCCTCTTCCTCCTCCCTACACGGCTGCCCTTTTCCGACTGTTTTGGAGCTCCAGGTCCTCTGTGACACGCGTCCGCGGATATATAACAAACATCGCAATAGGAAGGGATGGATGGGAGGGGTAGGAGGCCACGTAGGGCGCGAGCACGCCCAGCCTGTCCTTCTCCCCCCTCTCCTCCCTCCTCCCTTCTCGCCGAAGGAGTATACTGATGTGCATGCCCTCCTGCAAGTCTGTTCTGTCTCAGCTCCGCGGGTGGCGTAAGTGGTAAGCGGGTCGCGCGTCGGCCTGGCCCAAGATGGACCCAAGCGCCACCCCGCGGAGCTCCGAGTGACCTCGCGGTGAGCTGAGTCGCGCCACTCGGGGAAGTCGCACACACACACACTTCTTCCCTGGCGGCGAGGCGGGGCAATCCGCACCAGCGAAAGAGCGAAGCAGTCGCACACACAATTCCACACACCACACACACGCGCACACATACGCACACACACAAACACGCACGCACACAACACACACCACACACAACACACTCGCGCACACACAACACAACACACAACACACACAGCACACAAACAACACACAAACAGACAAACACACACCCAACCACACAGACACAGACACATAGACACACAGCCACACAGACACACAGACACACAGACACACAGACACACAGACACTGACAGACACTGACACACACACAGACACATAAACGCAAACAGACAAGCGCACAAGCACGCAAACACACAAACACACACAGACAAGCACACACGCACGCAAACACACAAACACACACAGACACAATCACACAAACACACAACCACACAAACACTCAACCGCACAAACACACAAACACAGCACACACACAGCACACAACACACAACACACACAGCACACAAACACGCAACCACAAACACACAAACACACCAACACACAACCACACACGCACAACACACAAACACACACACTTACACACGCACAAACACACACAAACGCACAGCCGCACAAGCACACACACGCACAAACACACGCAACCACAAACACGAACACAAACCCAAACACAACCATGCGCATGAACACAAACACAACCACACTAACAAACACACACAAACACAACCACAACCACACACCCAAACACAACCGCAACCACAAACACAAACACAACGACACACAAACACAAACACAAACACAAACACAAACACAAACACAAACACAAACACAAACACAAGCACAAGCATAACCACAATCACAACCACACACACAAACACAAACACGAACGCAAACCCAAACACGAACATGTACATGAGCACTCACATAAACACAATAACAAACACAAACACAAACACCACCACAACCACAAACACAAACACAAGCACAACCAACAACACACATAAAGACAAAGACAAACACAACCACAAACAAAAACACAAACACAAGCACTAACACAAGCACAAGCACAAACACAACACACACAGACAGACAGACAAACAGAAAGACACACACAGACTGACGCACACACACATACACACAGACAGACAGACACCGACAGACACACAGACAGACACACACATACAGACACACACACAGACAGGCACACACACAGACACACACAGACACACACACAGACAGACACACACAGACAGACACACACAGACAGACGGACACACACAGACTGACGCACACACAGACACACAGACAGACACACTCAGACAGACACACACACAGACAGACACACACAGACAGACACACACACAGACTGACGCACACACAGACGGACACACACACAGACAGACACACACAGACAGACACACACAGACAGACACACACAGACAGACACACACCGTCAGTCACACACACAGACAGACACACAGACAGACACACACAGACAGACACACGCAGACACACACAGACACACAGACAGACAGACGCACCGCACAGACGTACACAGACAGACACAGACACACAGACACAGACACACCGACACAGACAGACAGACACACAGGCGCAGACACAGACATACACACAGACGGACAACACAGACACACTCACAGACACACACAGACACACAGACAGACACACACACAGACACACACACCACACACGTACACACATTTTTCCGTCGGCGGCTAGGCAGAGTGACTGCGCTGGCGGTGAGGCGGTGGAAGATGCCCGAACGCGAATTCGGCCACCATGCAGGAGGGGAGGGAGGAGGCGCCAGGCGACGGCAGGAGGGAGGAGGAAGCCGGTCACACACACACACACCTCCCTTGTCCAAGAACCTCGTCCCCATCTTTTTTCCCGGTGCAGTTGCTCCTGGGGGCGTCCGGGGATCGCTGCTCCTGCTCCCTCCTGGCCTCCTGGCGCCGCCCCCCCCCCAGACTCTTCTGCTATGCCCCCCCACCCCCCCAACCCTGCACTCTCTCGAGCTCAGCCTTGATGGCCTGCAGCCGGGTGTCGGCTCGATCTGCTCCAGGTCGTCGAAGATGGTGGCGTCCCAGAAGACCTCGAGCACTGGTTCGTGCCCCCTCGGTCGCAGGGGGGCCGAGGCCCGCTGCCCGCGCAAGGGCCTGCACTGCGCGCCTTCCCCTCCTCCTCCTCCTCCTCCTCCGCCGCCTGCCTCTCCTCTGAGGCCTCTCCTGCATACTCTTCACATGGGAGTGTTGGCCTCGCCGATCTCTTCCATGCAGGCGCCTCGACGCCCCCTCCGCAACGCGCCTTCGTGGCGCCGTGCGCGCGGAGCCGAGCCCGAGGCCGAGCCCCGCCCCGCAATCACCGGGAGGCCCCCTTGCAGTTACGTCGGGCGCGTCCCCCTAATCACAGGAGGAATTTTCAAAAATAGTCAACAGATAGTCAGGGGACGATTTTTCCATTCTCTTCCGGCAATTTGTGAATATCTTTTGGGTATTTTGAAAAAAAATCGCCCAACATCCGCCCGGAGGTGGACATGCCCGACCTAACCCTACAGCCCAAGCGTCTCAGGAGCGCACGTCACGGCCAACCTAGCGGCGGGAGCCGTGGCAGCGCAGAGAGGCCTGCGGTTGGTACCAAGCAGGTCCGTGTCGGGCCAAGCAGGTTACTCTTCCTCCGCCCGCTCCCTCCTCCACTGTGGGGGGGGGCTGGTCCGATGCGGGAGTTTTATACGTGCATGCCGTTCGGGGGGCCGATGCACCATGACCACGGGGAGCGGCGGGTATGGACATGCTCGTCGCCCCCCCCCCCCCCTTGGACCAGATATGTGCTTATCCATTGGGGCCCTGAGGCGAGGGGGAGGCAGGTACCCATTGCTCGTCGAAGCTAGGCTCCTCCTCCTCCTCCTCCTCCTCCTCCAGTTAGATCCCCAGTCTCCACTACTCTTCAGGCATCCTCCGGTTTCAAGGATCGAGCGGTTCTCCTTCTTCCCTCGTCTGCAGGGGGCGGGCGGAGGTCCAATTTAGCTCGACGCCTGTCTGCACGTTTCGACCCACTTCTTTTCCGACCGATGGGTCGCTGTGGACAGGTTCGGCCCTCCCCCTCCCCCCCCCCTGGGCCCCAGATCTGTTCGGCCCCGCCCGGTGTCCTGGGACATAAGCCACTTCGATAGTGGATGTGCACGAATTCGGGCCTCGCAGCTGGGAGACTGCTTGACTGCACGGGAGCTTCTGTCCCGCCCGTGTGCACCGAACCAGGCTGATAAAAGACACGTGTGATAAAAACAGGTGTGATAAACAACACATGTTTTTTATTACATTTTTTATCACACTTGTTCGTTGTCTATCACACTTATTTGTTATCACGCATGTGAGGACGGGTCCGCGGATTTCAAGAAAGATCTCGTGGATGCGCTGCTGCTGATCATCTCGAAGGCGCCGCGGCTCCTTCCTTCCTGACGAACCTATCTTTAAGTCGGGCCTGTCCCTCTGCAGGATAAATATTCAAAGATAGTTGCCTGGGGACAATGTTTGAGCATTTTTTTGAGTACGGTTTGACAATCTTTACTTTTTCGTCCAAACTCTGCCTGTAGGGGGACATGCCCGACCTAATCCTATCTTCGCCTGTCTCACTGTTCCGTCTCCAGTGCTCAGGTGGCGTCTTTCGGGCCGAGCTTGCAGAATCTGCGACGATTTTCACAAGGATCTGGGCTCGTCCACCTTTCGTTTCTTACTTGCTAGGTCTCCCGCAGGGGCGCGAATGTGATCACGCTTCTCGCTTCGTGCGGCGAAAGAGGGCGAGTGTACTTCGATCGTGCCTCGCGCTGCTTCGATCCGCGAAAATAGGTGACACATGTTTTGTACCACCCAGGCATGTTCGTCGGTAGTGTGAGTTTTTTTTGTTGACATCCCACGCGGAGGGCGGGTGCAGAACCAAGCTGGGTTTTCTTAAGGGGGCACGGGATGAACGCCTCGGCACTTGGCAGAGTAGTCGTGGCTGCTGGCCGCAGAGGTTCGTTTCGCCAGTGCTGGCAGCTTGTGGCCGATTCGGGAGTTTGACGAGACACGCTCCGGGCTTGAAACTTGCGACGAAAGGATCCCCATTTGTTGAACGGCAGGGAGCCCACTATTTGCTGATTCCTACTGTCCTTCTGGCAGTTGGCTCGGCAGGGGGCATCGCTTTGAGTCTTTTTGCGCACCTGCCGGGCGCTTGCCGCGACGACGTCGTCTCCATATTCTTTGGACGCCCGAAATGGGCACGGAAAGAATGTGTACAATGCCCAACAACAAATGTTGTCCCAAACCAACAGCGGCCACTGTTGGGCAGGCGGCCTTCTGTCTCAAATGGACACAAGCCGCGGCGGCGCGGACAGCGAGTCCTGTTCAAAATGAACAGGAACTGCTGTTGGGCATTGTACCCATTCTTTCCGTGCCCATCTCGTGCGTGCAGAAGATTCTGCGCCGTGGTTTGTTCTCTGGGTGTTTTCCAGACCGCCCGAAACGAGCCTCGGAGGGTGGCCGGCCTTGAGCGCCGGCACCGGCGTCGGCGTCGTCTGCCAGTAGGTACACACTGCATCTTCCGGGGGCCGTGCCCGTCCTGTGAGCTGCCGTCTTCTCTTGGGCCCCGCGCGGGCTCGACGTGATCTCGAGTCGGATTCGGCGTCCATTCGACGCAGATTCGGCGTGGACTCGACGCAGGTTCGATGTGCGACGCGGCTTCCACGTCGAACGTGGGCTCAATGCGGGCAGCAGCGCGACGAGTCAAAGAATGCCACCCGAAGATGCAACATAATGCCCTTGCGCCCCCCGAAAGTCGCGCACCAGAGGTCACTCTGGCAAAGGGCTGCCCGGTTTTCAGGGGTCGTAGCCCGAGTCTGTGGCAGCTGTTCAGGGCGATCTTTGCACCCCCAGAACGCCGGCGATGCGCAGCTGCTGGAACGCGTGCCGAGGCAGGAGATGCGGGTAAGACTTATATCCATATCTACTGCGTCTTGGAGTTTCTGGGAAGGGGCGGCAAAAGGCCGAGGCGCAGTGGATATGGACAAAATCTAGCTTCTAGGGGCCAGACTTTTTTATCCATATACACTGCGCCTCTGGTCGCTGGGGAAGTGAGCCCATAACTCCAAGACGCAACGGTTATGAATACAACTCTTGCCCAGGACAACCTCTGGGAACCAACGATCGGCGGTGAAATCCGAACCCTACCTTCGCCGATCAACGATTCACGATTCAGGCAACTCGATGGGCGGCGCGGGCAGGGGTCGGAATTCGTCGAGCACGCCTCGAAATTCTTGATGCTTCGCGTATCCCCACCAGCGCCCGCAGCCCAGGTCGACCTCTGACGCCGCATGCGCCTTCGCTTGCGGCTGGGACGGAAAAGTATCCCCACAAGCCCATCCAGACACGATCGCCAGGTGAGTTGCCTTAATGAGGGCAGCGTAGAAGCATGCAGTGCGTCAGCCGCCTTGGATCCCTTTCGGCGGTGCGGGGAGGGCGGGAACATTCATTGTATGAGTCGTCAAAGGGTAGGTTGAACAGGTCGACCTGACGCCGTTTTGGCTCTATGGGGGTTCTCTTGGGGTCCTCTTCGGCAAATGCTGACCTGCCACGGTTAGGTCATCGGGGACGGGCTCCTGCACCATCATTATGCTAGCGCTTTTCCGAACGGGTTTAGAAACACATCAGACCATATTGCCCCAGATGAGGAGGAGGAGGAAGAGGAGGAGAAGGAGGCGTAGGAGGAGGAGGATGAGGGAGGAGGAGGAAGAGAGGAGGGAGGAGGGAGGAGGGAGGGAGGGAGGGAGGATGAGGATGAGGATGGTGATGATGATAATGCTGATGATGATGAGGAGGAACATGAGGATGAGTAATAATAATGATATGCATACTCGTAATATTGAGATTAAGAACCAACATACGACTACGAATATTAAGCATCAGACTACTCGAAGTAATAGTAATACGAAGAACAACAACATCATAATACTTTTCGTAATACTAGCAATGATAATACGTAAAATAATACGAATGCCAATTAGTACTACTAATATTATTATCAAAAACAGGAATGCGAATATTCATACGGATACTAACAAACATGCTGTTGCTCAGAAGAATAATAGCAATATGAGGAATGATACTATTAATTATGCGATTGTTACGAATGTATTATTACCAACCATAGAAACAATACTTCTATACATAATAAGCATATTAATACCAATACGATTCATGCCAAGAGTAATACGAATTAATAATAAGAGGAGGGGGAGGAGGGACAGGAGGAGGAGGGGAGGGAGGGGGAGAAAGAGGTTGCATGCGGCCCTGGATGTGTGTCTCGTTGTCGATGCTTTTCCGAGGGTCTGAGGTCGCCCGGAGCCGTCTCGGGTTTCTCTCGGGGTCCTCGCGGAGCCACTTGGTGTTTTTTTTGGTCCCTCTTGGGGCTCTTTTTGGGAGTCTGGGGGCCCTCTTGGGGCTCTTTGGGGGGGTCAGGGGGACCTCTTGGGACCGTCTTGGGCCCCCCCTTTGGGGCTCTGATGGGAGGAGATCGATCAAAGAGGGGGGGTCAATTTAGGCCCCCCCCCTCAGAAGCTCGAAGATGGCCTCTTGGGGGCTTCTTGGGCCGCTCTTGGGCCCCCCTTCGGCGCTCTTGTGGCCGTGTTGTGTTCGTCTTGGGCCCCTCTGGGGCCTCTCTAGGGCATCTCGGGGCCATCTTGAGGCCCAAAAGGCCCATCGGAAGCGAACAAGCGAAAAGCTAAACAACATTGATATTCCTTAGGTTTTTGACAGAGTTTGGCCTCCGTGGACGTGCATTGGGAGGCGGGAGTGGCACTTTGAACCCTCTTGGGGCTTTCTTGGGGCGTCTTGGAGGCTTGCCGGAGGCTATCTTGAGCGATGTTGAGGTATCTTGAGCCATCTTAGGGGCCTTCTTGGGCTGTCTTGGGCCCTCTTCGAGCCATCTTGGGCCATATTGGGCGCTCTGATCCCTCGCAGGGCGCCCCTTCCAGGTCCAGGTGCGGGGGTAGGGGGAGGGGTCAAGACACCCTCCTAGATAACAAGCCGTCTAGCCCACTCCCACCCGCCCTCCCAACACATGAGTAACATCCGAGCCTCAGCATGTTCAGCGGTCGTCTTTGGATGGACAGCTAGTGGGAACCAAAACCGAGCCCATGTGCGCAACGCTGGGGCGAGGTGCGCCACGCGTGCCAGGCGCGCCACGCGCACCAGGCACCCTTGGGGCCCAAGCGTGCCAGGCACGCCTGATGCGCCAGATGCGCCACGTGCCTCCGCATGCGCCAGGTGTGCCGCATACTCCAGCCGCGCCAGGTGCGCCACGTTCGGGGCACGTGCAGAGTGTGTCAGGTGCGCCTGCGCACGTGAGAGCACACATCGGGAAACATGTCGGCCCCCACCATCCTTGTCGGAAACCAATGCCCATCATTGTGTCTGGTGAGCCTGCGCACAGCAGGCCGTACGCCACCAGCCCCGCCGTCCCTGTCAAAAACCACTTGACAGTGATCGCGGGGTGGCCGCTCATGATCCAGATTTAGCCGCGGGGAGCATTTTGCATTTTTTGTTGTAATGGATGGTAGCCCTACGCGCAGAAGGCGATATGCTGACACCCCCGCCGTCCTGGTAAGAAACAATACAAAGTGTTTGCGGGCCTCGCGAATATGAATCCAGACTTTGCCCCAAAGTGTATGGTTCTTTGACGTCGATGGTGTGGGGGGGGCGCATGGGGTTGGTGTCGCATGCTCCGAATTTGGAGGCAGAATGTGTGTGTGTGTGTTTGTGTGTTCGTATGGCTTTTTGAAACGGATGGCTGGGAGGGGGTGATCATGGTGCCCTCATGGTTCCTGGCTGGCTGCCGGCTCCCTGGGGGAGGGGATGTGCACTGCATGGGAAAGAGGGGGAGGGGCGAACCCCTCCCCCGAGCAGGGGAAGGCGGGCTCTGCGGCAGGGAACTCCGCTGGACCGCCTGGCACAGCGGGCTCTGCCGCGCGCTCGCCCGCTCAAGCGCGGCCGCGGAGCGCGGCCGCGGAGCGCGGCCGCGGAGGCCCCCCTCGGCCTGCTTCCGGGGCTGCTTGCGCGCCTGCCCTCCCCGGCCCTGGCCGCGGGAGCGAGGAGGACGAGGAGCATCGGGGGCGGAAAAGAGGGGGGTGATGACTAGGGGGGGGTGGATATCATGGTGGGGGCCATGGTATCTCCCCAGATTTCAGGGCGCCTCTTCTTGTTTCATTACGTCCCTGGCCTCCCCGCGGGGCCGCGCACATGCCGCCGGTCATGATTTGCACCCCCCCTCTTGGACACCCCACTCTTGGCCGCTCCCGAGAGCAGGAGGGCGTGAGGGAGGACCGGTGGTTGGTGAGGGCAGGATTCGGACGTCGCCACCCGACCGAGCAGGCCCGAGCGCCTCGGACGAGGGTGCCCGGGCTGCACGATCGTGCCGCACCCGCGCGCGCGTTCGCGGCATTTTGTTGTTGTTGTTGTTGTTGTTGTTGTTGTTGTTGTTGTTGTTGTTGTTGTTGTTGTTGTTGTTGCTGTTGCTGTTGCTGTTGCTGTTGCTGTTGTTGTTGTTGTTGCTGTTGTTGTTGTTGCTGTTTCGTCCCCCCCCTGTTTTTTTGTTTATGCTTATTATTCGTTTTTTTTTTCTTCTTATTCTTCTTCGTCTTCGTCTTCTGATTCTTTCATGCCAGAAACTGCCCGGCACCCCGAGCGCAGCCCGCCAGGTGCCCGCCGCGCGGGAGGTGGGCCTGCTGCACCTCTGCGAGTTCATCGAGGACCCTGCCCCGTCTCCCCCCCCGCCCGTGCGTGCCGCTCGTCCGCCCGCCCCCCCCCCCCTCCCGCTCCTCCTCCCTCTCGCGCTCCCGTCCTCTCGCGCTCCCCCTCCTCCCCTCCCTCCCTGCTCCCTGTGCCTTGCTCCCTGCTCCCCTGTGCCTTGCTCCTCCTCCTCCTCCTCCTCCTCCTCCTCCTCCTCTTGTTCCTCCTCCTCCCCTCCTCCTCCTCCTCCTCCTCCTCCTCCTCCTCCCCTGCAGCATGGCAGCAACATGTTTGTATGTTTGTTCTGGTGTTCATGATCTGTTCTCGTGCGCCTACGCCTTCAGTTCCTCAGGGGACCAATGGTTTTGCAACGATCTCGACATGCACGTCCGCGCCGTGGGGCCGCACAATACCCTTTGACAGAGTTGTTGTGTGCGCGATCTGATGTTTGCGACATGCGCGCGCGTGTGGTTTGCATGGCCCCGTTCGACCGAACGGCCACACAAGTATGTTTATATTATGATTTCAGCGAGTGCGCACGCACTCATATCCATGTGTTTTCGTTGAAGAATGGCTTTGTGATCGGTGTGCTGGTAACCATGTTTGGAACACCGATGCTTTTGGCATGAATTTCACATGTGCGTGTGTGCGTGGCCAGTCTTGTATTATTCTCTTGCACAGGGTGTCTGGAGCTCTGACCACTTTATTTTGGCACGGCACCGCCTCCACCAGCCAGCGCGCCCCCAGCGCCCCCCCATCTCGCCCACCCCGTCCCCCCACCCACCAGCCAGCGCGCCCCCTCCGCCCCGACATTTTTATTTCGGCACAGCACCCTCCCCTCCCGCGCGCCCCCTCCGCATCCTCCCCGCCCGCCAGCCAGCGCGCCCCCTCCGCCCCGACCCTTATATTTCGGCGCGCCCCCCCCCCCCCCCCACACCCCCCTCAGACCACCATCCCCCCCACCACCAGCCAGCGCGCCCCCTCCGCCCCGACCCTTTCATTTCGGCACGCCACCCCCCCCATCCCCGCGCGCCCCCCCGCATCCTCCCCCCCCCCACCCACCGGCCAGCGCGCCCCCTCCCGCCCCGACCCTTATTTCGGCACGCCCCCCCCCCCCCCCGCACCATCCCACGCGCCCCCTCCGCATTCCCCCCCACCCGCCCGACCCTTTTATTCGGCACGCCCCCCCCCATCCCGCGCGCCCCCTCCGCATGCATCCCCCCCACCCACCAGCCAGCGCGCCCCCCTCCCGCCCCAACCTTTTATTTTCATCACGCCCCCCCCACCCCACACCACGCATCCCCCACTCTCCAGCCAGGCGCGCCCCCTTCGCCCGATTCTTTTATTTCGGCACTGCCCCCCCCACCCATCTCGCGCGCCCCCCCCGCATCCTCCCCCATCTCGGCACAGCACACTCCTCCGCCCCGACCCTTTATTTCGGCACGGCGCCCCCCCCCCCACCCCGCGCAACCCCCTCATCGCCATCCCTCCATCGCCCCCACCCACCAGCCAGCGCGCCCCCTCCGCCCCGTACCCTTTTAGTTCGGCACGGAGCGCCCCGCCCATCCCCGCGCGCCCCCTCCGCAGCCCCCCACCTACCAGCCAGCGCACCGCCCTCCGCCCCGACCCTTTATTTCGGCACGCCCTCCCTATCCCACTCGCCCCCTCCACCGCATCCCCCCCACCCGCCCGACATATTTTATTTCGGCACTCCCCCCCCACCCCGCGCGCCCCCTCCGCACCATCCCCCCGCCCACCAGCCAGCGCCCCTCCGCCCCGAACCCTTCTTTCGGCACGGCCCCCCCCCTATCCCCGCGCGCCCCCCCGCATCCCCCACCCCACCAGCCAGCGCGCCCTCTCCGCCCCGACCTTTTATTTTTGGCACGCCCCCCCCCCCCCACACACGGCCAGCCCAGCTCCTCCTCGCCAGCCAGCCAGCCTGCTCCCCCGCCCCGCCCTGAAGACCCCTGTTCGGCATCTTCGCAAATGTGAATACTGCTCCCTCCCTCTATTCCCCCTCCTGGTCTACTGACTCCAATTCCTGCTCCTGTCGCTCCCCTTTCCTCCTCGCCCTCCTCCGTCCTCGCCCTCCCTCCCCCATTCTCTCTCTCTCTCGTCCTCGTCGTCCCGTGTCTTCATTTCTCTCAGTCGTCATTCGCTTCCCCCGCTTTCAGCCCCTCATTATCCTCCCCCTCTTCCTCCTCCGCCTCTTTGTCTCGTCCTACATTTCCCTTCCCAGTCCTCCTCCTCCACCTCCTCCTCCTCCCTCTCCTGTATGTCCTGGAGCTATGGCACGCGTGCTTCTTGTTTATACGGGTTCATGATGAATTCCGTCTTACGGTCGCAGCGAGTGCTCCGCTATGTTTATTGTACACGGAGGAGGGCGGGGGGGAGGGCAATCGATAAGGTGAGAATTCAGTTCCAGGATGGACGATCGTGCATAATCAAAATGAAACACCGATGTGCCGAGGTGAACCGTGAACCCTTACCTCCATGGAGGGATGGGGGGTCGAGCCTTACCCTCTTTAGGCATTGAGTCCAATCTAGCTGACATTCGCGCGTGACAGACCACCTCTCGTGTTCGAGCAACTCCGCAGTGTGTACGGTAGGCGCAAGGTCGCGATGACCTGCCGCATGCAGGTCCATGAGTCGGGAAGGCGGTTGATGATGGTAACGACAGCATCGGCGACCACGACTATGATAATGATGCTGATGCCGGCGGCGATGATGACGGGGGCGACGACAACGACGACGACGATAGCGACGGTGGTGATGAGGACGATGACGATGGCGATGGTGATAGATATGGTGATGATGATGATGATGATGATGATGATGATGATGATGATGATGATGATGATGATGATGATGATGCTGATGCTGATGCTGATTGCGGCGGTGACGACGACGATGCCGACGACGACGACGACGATGCCCGCCCCCCCCCCGGCGCTGAAGGGAAGGGGCTTCCCTTCGACTCACCTTCGTCGTTGCTGCTTACTTTTGCTTTAGCTCGTGCGCCTGATGAGGAGGCCCAGGGAAGGGGGGGGGAGCGGCGACGATATGTGATGAGAGTAGTGATCAGGATGGTGACGCTGATAGTGGTGATGATTACGGTGCTGCTTGTTGTAATGACAATGATGCTGATGATGATGTTGATGGTGGTGGTGATGATGATGATGCTGATGCTGATTCTGATGATGCGGTTGATGATTACGATGGTGATAATAACGGTGATGGCGACGGTGATGGCGATGGTGACGGTGATGGTGATGCTGGTGATGATAAGTTCGATGACGATTATTATGACGGTGATGGTGATGGTGATGGTGACGCAGAGGATTATGACGACGATTTCTGACGATGCTGATGATGGTAGTGATGATGTTGACGATGTCGGTGATGATTATGATGATGTTGCTGATTATGCTGCTGAGGATGATGTTGTTGATGATGATGGTGGCGATGGTGGTGATGATGATGATGATGATGCTGATGCCGCTGCTTATGACGACGACGACGGCGGCGACGACGACGATGATGAGGAGGAGGAGGAGGAAGATGATGATGAGGAGGAGGAGGAGGAAGAGGTGGACTCGGCATGTTTGTCGTCCTCGTTATCGCCTCCTTGGCAGGCCTTCTGTGGCCAATCCCGCCCCGCCGAGGACTGCGAGTACCCCAACCTGTGCACCAAGATCTTGTCCTTCCTCGGCGAAGAGGCTTCTCCCCAGACTCCCCCGCGTTGAAACAAAAAGAGGAGGGAAGGGGGAGGGAGGAGGAGGACGAGGAAGAGGAGGAAGAGGAGAAGTGCGGAGGGTGGAGGGAATAAGAGGAGGAGGAGGAGAAGGGAGAGGAGGAGGAGAAGGAGGAATGGTAAGGAGGAAGAGGACGAGCAGGAGGACGAGGAAGAGGATCTGGGAGAGGAAGGTGAATATGAATAACCAGGACAGTAAGGAGAATAAGACTAACCATGATAATCATAATGAGTATGCTGAATACAAACAGGAGTAGTAGGGATATGATGAATACTATCAGTGTTGATACTACGGCGAGTAATACGAAGCGGAATACCCATACGAGGAAGCGGGAGGAACAAACCCAATATTAAGAGTAAAACTTAAGCTACATAATATGAGGAGGAGGGATACTACCAATAATCATAATGTGAGTGCTAGTTTCAATCATCAGACTAACAATGCTAAGGACATGACACCGACTGGTGATACAAAACGTTAATGCGAATATTCATATGGTGAGTTTGAAAGCTAAGACGAGTATTCATACTAAGAAGAACGGTTACCAGAATAAGCATCAGAAGAACAGTAAGGTTACCAATCATCCAACTAGTTCTAATACTCACACTAGGAATGCGACTCACAAAACTATGAAACATAATGGCAGGAGGGGGAGGAGGAGGAGGAGGAGGAGGAGGAGGAGGAGGAGGAGGAGAAGGACTGGGAGTAGGAGCAGGAGGGTACTGGCGGATTGCAGCCTGGGAGTGTGGCTGGCTTCTGTCTGGCCAACGGTCAGACCAGGCCACTAGGCGTGGAGGAAACCGCAGCAGCGATAGCAGTGGCAAGACAGACCACTCCCCATCTCAGTACGCAGGCCGCGGGCACTGCCGCCAGGGTGCGGTGCGGCCCGTAGGCCCGTGCCGCGGCCAGGGAGTGGCTGTATACAGGGCCGCCGGCATTGCCGCCCAGCCGCGTCCCGGATGTCAGTACCTCGTGCGTGGACATGACAGGAAGGTGCGTGGGGCCGCCGGCATTGCCGCAGGATTGTGTCCTGGAGGCCCTTACTCAGTGCAGCACGCATCGCGAGCACGATGAGGAGCATGATCGGCCACGGGCTTTGTGCTAAAGCAGAGCCTGCAAATGAACAGCGTGAACCTCGAGGCACAGCTACACTAGCCAACAACAGTATTTGAATAGCCTCTGGCCAGTGCCTCCGATCCGGGGCGGAGAGGAGGAGGAAAGAGGAGGAAGGAGGAGAAGGAGGAGGAGGAGGAGGATGAGGATTGAGGATGAGGAGGAGGAGGAGGAGGAGGAGGAGGAGGAGGAGAAGAGGGAGGAGGAGGAGGAGGAGAAAGGGAGGAGGAGGGGGAGCAGGAGGAGGAGGAGGAGGAGAAGGAGGAGGAGGAGGAGGAGGGGGAGGGGGAGCCAACAGCAGGATATGTCTGAGATCCAGCTCGCGGCGACCACAGAGCAGACAGGTGAACGAGCTCGCACCCACTCGGCCATGTGCAGTTGCAGGCCGGGGCAGGCCCACCTTCGCACGGCTATGTCAAGAGGCAGGCTGGGGCAGGGCCCACCCCAGCACAGCCATCTAGCCAGGACGCTGGAACAGAGCCGGGCCTGTCCCCCTACAGGAGGAATACATTCTAACATAGTCAGAGAGATCGTCTCGGGACGAACTTTCGACCATTTTTGACCATCTGTTAATTTTCGCAAAGAGCCCGCCTCTAGGCGGACACGCCCGCCCTTGCGCTGGAATAAGAACCGCTTTCGGCTCGGGAGGGGCTCCCGTTCTCGGGCCGCTCCCGAGACCCAAGTCGGGAATCCTGTTCGTGGCCGAGGCTCGCCGTGGCCAGAAGGGCCCCTTAACAATTCCTTAGCCGTAAGGGCTTCGCCCCCCCCTCTCTCGGAGAATGGGCCACGGAGGAGCGAAGGCATGCGGCCTTGGTATCGCCGTGAAGCGGTGTCGGGACCCGTTTGTTTTTCGACCCTGACCCTGCGGATCCGCGTGAGGTTTGCCGCCGAATTTCAGAAGTGTGGCACGCCCCTTGTGTTTTTGGACCCTGACCTTGCGGATCTGCGTGAGGGGTGCCGCCGAATGTCAGAAATATGGCAAATCGCATGTGTTTTTGGATCCTGACCCTGCCGATTTGCGCGAGAGGTGCCACCGAATTTCAAAAATGTATCAAATCCCCTGTGTTTTTGGACCCTGACCCCGCCGATCTGCGAGAGGGGTGCTAGAGAAATTTTAGAAATGTGGCAAATCCCATGTGTTTTTGGACCCTGACCCCGCCGATCTGCGTGAGGGGTGCCACAGAGTTTCAGACATGTCGCAAATTCCTAGTGTTTTTGGACCCTGACCCCGCCGATCTGCGTGAGGGGTGCCGCCGAATTTCAGACATGTATCAAATCCCATGTGTTTTTGGACCCTGACCCCGCCGATCTGCGTGAGGGGTGCTAGAGAAATTTTAGAAATGTGGCAGATCCCATGTGTTTTTGGACCCTGACCCCGCCGATCTGCGTGAGGGGTGTCAATTTTTACCCACCCCAGCAATTCAGACAATACGATTTGGGCGTTGTAAAAATGCCCATTTTGGGCCCGCCCCCTCGCGCGGTCCATCAACAAGGAACAGTAAGCAGCAAGAACCAGAACTGTAACACGGAACAGTAAGCAGCAATACTTAGAATTGTAACAGTGGAAACTGGACGCTGCAACTGGTACAGGAAACTGCGAACCTCCGGCCTACAGCCTGGTGGACCCACAAGGGGGCCGGCGGATTTGGCGTTCCGTACGGTGGCACGATAAGTATACTGATAGGCAGGCTTGGGAAGGATCACCGCCACAGAGCCATATCGATAGGCAGACCGGGGAAGGCTTACCCCCACACCGCCAGATCGAGAGGCAGGCTGGGGATGGCTCACCGCCACACAGCCAAAGCAAGAGGCAGAATGGGGAAGGCTCGTCGGGAGGAGTAGGAGGAGAAGAGGAAGAGGAACAGGAGGTGGAGGAGGAGGAGGAGGAGGAGAAGGAGGATGAGGAGAGGGACCATGAAGAGGAGGAGGAGGAGAAGGAGGAGGAGGAGGAGGAGATGGGATGAGAAAGGTGGAGGGAGGAAGGATGCAGGAGGAAGGAAGGAGCACTTTCTTTCTTGACATGGCTGGGGGGGAGCTCAATACCAAACGGTGGAAGCCTTGGCCAATCCCCCAAGTGTTCTGCCGAAGCAGCGCTGCCGATGCCCTGTCGAAGCCGCCACGACCGCGACGCAGTCACCGTAAATGGCACCGTTGCACGGGAAGACACGGTGAATGGAGGAGGAGGAGGAGGAGGAGGAGGAGGAGGAGGAGGAGGGGGAGGAGGAGGGGGAGGAGGAGGAGGGGGAGGAGGAGGAGGAGGAGGAGGAGGAGGAGGAGGAGGAGGAGGACGAGGAGAAGACGGTGAGCCGACGTCGAACTGCGCGGCACGGGCAGAGCACGGCACGCGGGCAGGGCGCCCCACCTCCGCGGCACGAGCGCGGCACGGCCCGCGGGCACGCGCACGCGCACGCGCACGCGCACGGGCACGGGCACGGCTTGCCACGGGCGCGCTGGCGTCACGGCGCACGGCGCGGCGCGCGCACGCGCGCGGCACGGCAGGGCACGGCCCGCGGGCGGCACCTGGCTCGCAGGGCAGAACAAGTCGTGGTCCGCTCTTATGATGCGAATTGGGGCCCTGACATCGCATTCGCCGTTGGGAGGAGGTCCACCTCCTCCTCTGCTCTCCTCCTGACCTCCACCTCCCCAACCCCAACACTGCCGTCGTCGCAGCGGCTGGGGGAGGTGCGCAGAGGGGGAGCGAGGCACTGTGAAATGTGCAAGGTAGCGCTGCAGGGCCGAGAAGGCCTAGGGGGCGGCAAATCGCTGGGCCCTCACGGTTGCTCTCGCCCCTGCCCTTGCTCGCGACCTGGTCCCAGGCAGCTCGATGGCCCAGGTCGAGCCTCTCCGCGAGAACATCGACACCGAGGAGCATCAGCATGAGGCCCTGAGCCATGACCAGCGCGACCTTGAACAAGATGGCGAGATTCAGGAGGGGAAAAACACACACAGACACAATGAATCCTCCTCTCCCAGGAAGATGTGGGAAAATATGGGAAGTGGGGGGGGGAAGACAGAACCCCAGAAAATATATAGGAAAATGTGGGGAACCATTTCATTTGTGTGTATTTCTTTGTGTGTCCTGGGGCCCCTTCAGAGATGGCACGCTGCCGCGGCTCGCGCCCTCGCCCTCGCCCTGTGGCAGAGCCGCTGCTGGCGGCACAGCCGCCGCGGCCGCGGGCGCCCAGAGGCGGTGGCGAGAGGCACAGCGTCGTGCGCGCCTGCCTCCCCGCGGGAGAGGGGCGCCGCACCGGCGGCAGGCGGGTGCCGCCGGAGCAGGCGGGGGCACCTCGGCGAGACAGGGGTATAGCCAGGACCCCGGGTAAGGTCGAGTAGACGTAAGAGTGACCTTTCGCCGGAGTGACCCTTGGTGCGGGCACAAATGGGCCCTCAGATGGCTGGAAACGAAGCGGGAGCAGCGGCTTGCGCGCCCAGGTTTGGCCCCTCCGCGGCCCCCAAAAGGCCGCGCACCAAAGGTCACTCTTACCCAGGGTCACTCTTGCGTGTAGCCGATAAGGGGGCTCGATTAGTGGTAGGGCCCTGGGGCCCCTCAATTGGCCAGAGTCACCAAACCAGGTTTGCCGTAGCTGGTGTTTTTCGGTTGACGGCAGTTCCGGCCAGTGGAAATGGGACGGGGGGGCGCCCCCGGTACAAATCACTAAGCCAGGTTCCACTAAACCCATTTCTGCCAACGCCCGGGAGACGCCTCGACGAGAGGCTCGCGGAGAGGACCCGCACGAGAGGAGCTGCCAGAGGATCTCCGTTGCCTCCATGGGCATCTCCTCCGGTTTAGGCTTCGGTCTGGCATGTCCTCCTACAGGCGGATGTGGGACGAAAAGTATTAGAATAGTGAAACCTATTCAAAAAGATATAGGCGTAGTCGAAAAGTCGTCCCCAGACAATTTTTCTACGATTTTTGAATCTTCCTCCTGTAGAGGGAGATGGCCGACTTAAGCTTAGGCCTCCCAGATGGGGTCCGAATAGATGGGGTCGGAGGATCGCCGCCGCATCGCCGATGCATCGCTGATGCGGCTCGATGAGGCGCCCGGCTTTCTCCGCGCCGGCGTCGCCGATGCATCGCCGATGCATCGTCGATGCGTCGGTGATGCATCGTCGATGCGTCGGCGATGCATTGGCGAAGTGGCGCGATCCTTTGACCTCATCTGCTCGGACTCCATCTACAGTGGGGACTCGTGCCAAGAAACACCCTGCTTGCCTCCAGGGTGCCCTGGGTGTCTTGGGTGTCGATGGCTTTGCTATGAAGAGCGTGACGTTCCCGCACCAAAAATCCATGGACGTCCTGGGGTCTCAGGGTTGGGCTTCTTGTGGAAGGTTTCTTGTGGTCGAGCCGCTGCAGTAGGAGGCCTGTATCCTTACGTCGGGCCTGTCCCTCTACAGGAGGAACATTCCAAAATAGTCAAAACATAGTCTGGGGATGATTTTTGTTGATGTTGTTGGTGTTGTTGTTGTTGTTGTTGTTGTTGTTGTTGTTGTTGTTGTTGTTGTTGTTGCTGTTGTTGTTGTTGTTGTTGTTGTTGTTGTTGTTGTTGTTGTTGTTGTTGTTGTTGTTGTTGTTGTTGTTGAATGCTCACTGCTGAAGACTAATTATGGTTGTCCCCCCCCCGCCGGTGCATACTGTTTTCTCAATCGAAGTGTGCCCTTCGACGCTCGCACCCTGTTTTTTGAAAGAGAAAGTCTTGAGGCTCAAACTGTGCCCCTGGTCCCAGGGTTGCAACAACAACGGCTCCAGCCTGAGACGTCCTCACAATTAGCCAGGACCCCCGCTCCCGCCCGAGACTTTCTCGCATTTTATTCAGAAATCGCGCTCTTGCTGGGGAGTTCCTACAATTTATTCAGGAATCGCTATCCCGGCGCTCCGGGGGCGCGCTCTCGCTGGAGATTTGCTTGCAATTTACTCAAGACTAGCGCTCTTTCGTTGGAATTTCTTGCAATTTACTCAAGCGCCGCGCTCCCGACACCCAGGCACCCAGGAGTCGCGCTCACGCTTAGGACTCCCTGACAACAGATTACCTAGGCATCGGGATCTTGCTGCCCATCGTGGCGCCGTTGCAGCCCTTCGTGCCCCCCTCGCTTTGTTTCGTGGCCCCGTTGCAGCTCTTCGTGGCCCCCTCGCTTTGTTTCGTGGCCCCGTTACAGCCCCTCGTGGCCTCCTCGCTGCCCTTCGTGGCTCCGTTGCAGCCCCTTCGTGGCCCCGTTGCAGCCCTTCGTGGCCCCCTCGCTGCCCTTCGTGGCCCCGTTTCATCCCTTTGTGGCCCCCTCGCTGCCCTTCGTGGCCCCATATATGTATGCCCTTCGTGGCCCCCGCTCGCAGTCGCCCGTCGTGGCCCCATACGCATGCCCTTCGTGGCCCCGCTGTCGCCCTTCGTGGCCCCCTCGCTGCCCTTCGTGGCCCCGTTGCTGCCCTCAGCGGCCCCGTCGCTGCCCTCTGTGGCCCCGGATTAAATGCCCTTCGGGGCCCCTGCTCGTTCGCGCCCTTCGTGGTCCCATATGCGTGCCCTTCGTCGCCCCGGTGTCGCCATTCGTGGCCCCCTCGCTGCCCTCAGCGGCCCACTTTCTGCGTTTTCTGGCCCCATATATGTATGCCCTTCGTGGCCCCCGCTCGTTCGCGCCCGTCGTGGCCCCATATGCATGCCCTTCGTGGCCCCGCTGTCGCTCTTCGTGGCCCCCTCTCTGCCCTTCGTGGCCCCGTATCTGCCCTCAGTGGCTCCGTCGCTGCCCTCTGCGGCCCCGTATCGTATGCCTTTCGGGGCCCCCGCTTGTTCGCGCCCGTCGTGGCCCGCGCTGACAAAATCGCGCTCTCGCTTGGGACTTCCTTGCAATTTACCACCGAATCGCGGCTCTCGCCTGATACTTCCTTACAATTGATTTGAGAATCGCGCTCTCGCTTAGGATTTCTTCGCAACCATACGCATGCCCTTCGTAGCCCCGCTGTCGCCTTTCGTGGCCCTCTCGCTGCCCTTCGTGGCCCCTATGCTGCCCCCAGTGGCCCCGCTGTCGCCCTTTTGTGGCCACGTATACGAGTGCCCTACGTGCATGCCCTTCGTGGCCCCGCTGTCGCCCTTTGTGGCCCCCTCGCTGCCCTTCGTGGCCCTGGCCGGTGCTGCCTTCAGAGGCCCCGTCGCTATCCTCTGTGGCCCCGCATTATGTGCCTTTCGGGGCCCCCGCTCGCTCGCGCTCTTCGTGGCCCCATATGCATGCCCTTCGTGGCCCCGCTGTCGCCCTTCGTGGCCCCCTCGCTGCCCTTCGTGGCCCACTTTCTGCGCTCAGTGGCCCCGCTGTCGCCCTTTCTGGCCCCATATATGTATGCCCTTCGTGGCCCCCGCTCGTTCGCGCCCGTCGTGGCCCCATATGCATGCCCTTCGTGGCCCCGCTGTCGCTCTTCGTGGCCCCTCACTGCCCTCCGTGGCCCCGTATCTGCCCTCAGCGGCCCCGTCGCTGCCCTCTGTGGCCCCATCCCATCCCAACAATATCCACCCCTTCCCGCTCCTCCGGATTCCTCCGTGCGCCCCCCGCTCCTCCGCATTCCCCCCGGTTCCTCTTCTCCATTCTTTGCCGCTCCTCCTCCTGAGACCCTACTCTTGTCCGCTCCATCCCAATCCACTCCACATCCCTGCGCTCCTCTCGACACGGTTGCAGTTCTCACTATCCTTCCGCCCCGCTCTCCCAACATCCCGCTTCTTTTCAGGGTTCCACGAAAATTGTTGCTGACACCAGTTCGCAGCTGTACGCCCCCCCCGTGGGTGCATCCACGATTTGTTCTTTCAGGGACGTGGTACGTGGCGCTGTTTATGGCGCGGCCCATGGCGAAATTTGTTGTTAACCTGTGTTGGAGTGGCTGGCGCAAGCCATGGCGCACGCTGAATCGCCACTCGCAGCTCAAATCATCGTCCCCCCTCCTTTGTGCCCTTCCCCTCCCTTCCTCCGATCCCCTCGTCCTCATTTTCCCATGTTATCTGTTGCCCTTCGTTTTCAAGGGCTTCGCCAACCACGCGTGGCAGGGCGTGAGTACCCCCCCAAAAAAAAGGGGGGTAGGATCGAAGACGTAGAGGGCGGGTATCCAGGGTTTGGGATATGCATATGGAAAGCACGCGAGCAGATAATAACGAACAGTCTCACATTGATTGTTGTTGTTGTTGTTGTTGTTGTTGTTGTTGTTGTTATCGTCGTTATTGTTGTTGTTGTCGTTGTTGTTGTTATTGTTGTTGTCGTTGTTGTCGTTGTTGTTGTTGTTGTTGTTGTTGTTGTTGTTGTTGTGGTTGTGGTTGTGGTTGTGGTTGTGGTTGTGGTTGTTGTGGTTGTTGTGGTTGTTGTTGTTGTTGTTGTTGTTGTTGTTGTTGTTGTCTGTTGACTTTTTCGAATATTTTTCGAATGCGTGCCATGTTTCGCACAGCGTCCGCCTGTATGGGGGACATGCCCGACCTAAATCGATCCAGGACGCCCGTGGCGCGAGGAACGCGAGCGCCCGCAGCCGCCTCGAGCGCCAGGCGGAGGGCCTCGCCGAGGCGCACTGGGCGCGGCCGCCTCTCTTGCGCGCCCAGCGGCGCGGCCGCCCAGCGGCGCGGCCGCCCAGAGCACGGCAGCTGCACGGCGCGCGCACGGGGGGCCTGGGCCCTGGAGCGGCCGGGGCGGGTTGGCCGCCCCTCCACCGCAGGCCCGAGGCTCGAGCAGTGGCGAGGCGTCCTGGCTTTCCCGTAGGCCCAGCAAATCGTGTTCGAAGAGCCTCCTGTCGTTTGCGCGGGACGTTCTCAAAGCACTTCTGGCCGAGATTGTCTCGTCTTGACACCCCGGGTTCATGTTCTGAAAACCATGTTTTTGTTCTTCGATCGTTTCCGGGTTCTAAGAACATGTCGTGGTAGGCCTACAGGAATGCTGGGACGGTCGGTCCCTGCTCAGGAGGCGGCGTGGCTGGCGGCCGAGGGGGGAGAGGAGTGCGGGCAAGGTCTCTAGCAATATCCATATCCACTGCGCCCTGGAGTTCCGGGCTCCCTCCGACAACAGGGGCGCCGTGGAGATGGATCGAGCAACCTCGCCCCTGGAGGTCCGATTCTTCTCCACACCGTATGCGCCGCGGCCTGGTGGCGCCCCTTCCCAGAAAGTCCAAGGCGCGGTGGAAGGAGGGGATGCGGATTGCCCATCGGGGGCGCGAAGCAGCGGCGGGGCAACCGCCTGGCGCGTGCTCGCGGGCGGCCGCGCGCCGCCGGATCGGAGCTGGCGCTGGGCCTCGGTCGCCGGCCCCTGGAGAGGTGTGCAGGGCCGCCCTGGTCGAGGCCGTGGGGGCCACGTGGATGGGGGCCAACGCTTGCCGAGCCACAGCAAGAGGGAGGCCGGAGATGGTACGAGGGAGGGCAGGGAATACGCAGGGAGGGAGGGAGGGAGGGGGAGGACGACGCGGAGAGGGATGGGGGAGAGGGAGGCGAGGAGGGCAGCGCAGGATGGGATGGGAGCCAAGGGGCAGTCCCGTGAAACAGGTGCCCAACACGAGCGTGCCCTCCAAGTACATCCGCTTCATCTACAATCGGATGATTCTGGAGACTGGGCGTAAGACGAGGGGACGATGATTTTGATGGCAAGAGCAGCGATGATCTCGGCAATGATGTTGCCGACGACGATGACGATGGTGACGGTGAAAGCGGCCTCTGCGACGCTGCTGAGGACGGCGGCGTCGGCGGCGCGTGAAAAAACAGTTGCAGGTGCAGGTGCAGTTGTAGGTACGCAGTGTGCGTATGCAGTTGTGGTTGTAGTGGTACAGTCGGGGCCCCGAAGAAGGAACCCTTTTCGTTGGGGAGGGGTTCCGCGTTCCTTAAGTGTTTCACAGCTTGCCTCAGGCTTTCCTTATCTTTTCGACAGGGAATCGAAGGTTAACTTCTGGAAAAAAGGGTCCTCGTTCCCTATTTTGGGTTCCTTAGGTCAGCGCCCCGACTGTAGTCGTAGTCGTAGCTGCACATCTGCCACTGGTAGTTGCTCTCGTATGTTGCTCGAGCTCGTTTCGGTCGCAGAGGCTCTCTTTTCCAGGGGGGGCGGGGCGGCGTGGAAGCGCGGAGGCCATCGCCCTTCGCGCCTCCTCTCTCGGCGCGCGGCGCGAGAGAGAGAATGCCAGGCCTCGGGACGACGCGCAGCGACAGCACGCAGTATGCGAGGCTGCGCTCGTGGGAGGGCGTGCCGCCTCCTTTGGGCCCCCCCCGCGTGGCGAGGGATGGGGCGTGCCCGCAGGAGAACGCCCCGGTGCGCGCCGCCTCCGTGGACGCTCTCACGAAGATCGCGATGAGGCGCCAGGGAGGAGGAGGAGGAGGAGGAGGAGGAGGAGGAGGAGGAGGAGGAGGAGGAGGAGGAGGAGGAGGAGGAGGAGGAGCGAGAAGAGGAGGCGCCCGGAGAGGGAGGAGGAGGAGGAGGAGGAGAGGAGGAGGAGGAGGAGGAGGAGGAGGTCGCCACCTGCGGGGACTCGCCGTCTCGCGCTCGGTGGGGGGGGTGCCGGCCTCGCACGGGCGGCGACCGGCGCGGCGCCCGGCCTCGGCGATTGCGGCCGCGGAGCCCCCTGGTGCCGCCGCCGCCAAGCTGAACGGCAGCAGCGAGGTGGTCGTCCACACCGCCACGTCGTGTGCGGGGACGCGGAGCCGTCTGGACCAGGAAAAACCCTTTGGAGCCGGGTCCGGGCAAATTTTCGGCATCCTTTCGGGTGCCGGCGGGACGCGCCAGAGCCGCAGGGGGAGTTCTTTTCAAAACCAAAAACGATGGGATTCAGAACGCCAGGCACCCCTCTTGCAAGCAACATGGGGCAGCGGATCGAATGGCTTTGGGCACACCCCGCCACCGTGCCTGGGTTGCGGGTCTGAGGCCACTCGGATGGCTGATGGGGTCCCGTGGGAGGCGTCTCGGGGTCGTCTTGGAGGCAGTTTTTGCACCTTTTGGGGGCCTCCTGTGGGCCTTTTGGGGGCGTTTTGCGGCCATCTTGGGGCTCCCTGGGGTTTGTTGGAGGCTTCTTGGGGCAACTGGGAGGCCGTCTTGGGGTGAAAGACTCGAGATGTCCGTTCGGGTTTCCCCTCTGGGCCCCCTCTTGGGGCGTCCTGGGGCCCTCCTGGGCCGTCTTGGGGGGTCTTGGGCCGTCTTGGGGCCAGCCCTCGTGGGGGTGGCCCGTCCTGGGGCCAGGCCCCTGCTCCCGTGACGTGTTTTCGGGCGGTCCCCGTGGGCCCCCCCTGCAAATCGACCGCACCGGGCTCCCAGGGGAGCGGTCTGGGCAGGGGGGAGCATCTCACACGCCGATGAACCCCAAGGTCAGGGAAGCGTAAGACTCGAGTAAGCCGCAGCTCGGGTTTGCCGACATTTTTTGACGAGCGTGGCCTGGATTTTGACGGTCCAGTTTTCGTGGGAGGCTTGCAGCGTGAGCTCGCGTCAAATCTCAGAATGGGGCTCGTCATTTTTATGATGGCGGCCAACCCGAGTCCCCCGAACCCGAGTCTTACGTCTCCCTGAACAAGGGGTCGGCGGACTACTCAGGACTGAGGACTGAGGCTCCAGAGATGAGGCAAAAGGACCCGAGGACATGCCCACTCCGTGCCAAGAGGCACGGTGGCGGATGTGTTCCGTTTTCCACTCAGATTAGCATGGTGCGTTGGCAATCAAAAGTGCGCATGGGGAAGGCGTCGGACGGAACACTTCCTGGGGGGGAGGGGGAGGGCGGAAAAGGTGGGAGGGGAGACGTGGAATGAACAACGGAGAGGGGACGTCGGGGGAGGGGATTGGAACGGAAAGGGGAGGTGTGGGGAGGGAAGGAGCTCGAAAAGGGGGCCGTGGGGGCAGTGTCGTAGCCGGGGTTGGACTGGCGGACGAAGAAGGGCATGATCGCCTGCCAGTGGAGGTGCCCGAAGCTTCGCCGAGACGTGATGCTGCTCCTCAATTTCGCGCAGAACGACAACGACGATGAGGCCCCTCTGTTCTCCCTTTTCCCGTGTGCCACTTCTTCCGCCCTGCTGCATACTTTTGTGCTCTCCTAGGATTCCCCTGCGAATTGCCTCATCGGGTTGATCAGAACTGCGCTGCTCTGTCGCTGAAGTCTGATCTTCGCATCCTCGTGGATGGCCCTCGCGAAGCGTCGCGAGGGGGATTTCCTCTTCCGCCTCCTCCTTTCGGATGCCCCTCTCTCCGCTGCCCCCTGACCCCATGCCGCTCCCTTGCCGTCGTCGTCGTCGTCGTCGTCGTCGTTGTCGTCGTCCTCTTCCTCCTCCTCCTCCTCCTCCTCCTCCTCCTCCTCCTCCTCTTGCCGTGCGCTCCCCCTGGCCGAGTGGCCCCCCCCCTGGCGCGCGACCGCCGCCTTGGCGTCGGACGGGGGGCGGCGGCGAGCTCTCGCCGCGCGCGCGCGTCGCTGCAGGCGCGCGTGCGCGCGGGGGTGCGCGTGCCCCCCAGAGTTCGAGGCGCTGCGAGTGCGAGCACGGCACGGCACGGCACTGCGAGGCGAGGCTGCGAGTGGGACCCCGAGGCGCTGCGAGTGCGGGCACTGCACGGCAGGCTCGCGCCTGGCAGGGGTGCGGCGCCGGCGCGGCGGCGCTCCCCGCCCCTTCCCCTGGCATCGCTCGGACGTGTGCATTTTTCCTTCGGCGAGGACCTTCGAGGAGCATCCTTGATCATTTGGCGAACAAAACCACGCACGAAACCGAAAAAAAACACAGGGAATGGACGTCCGAGCGATGGCCAATTCCCGCTCCCCCTCCTGCTCCTCCTCCGCCCCGTGGCCGTTTTGGCTCGAGGCGCTCGCCGAGGGGCGCGCTCGAGGGGGCCCCTCGGGACCGCCGCTGCCTCCGCCCACAGGGCGTCGTGGGAAGTTCGGTGATCGACCGCGCGGACGTCGCACGCGAGAGCTGCGAGGCGTGAGGTCGCGAGCGAGCGCCCCCTCTCCTCGCGGCGTGCCGCGCGATTGCCCCGCGTAGGCCACTCGGAAGTCGAAGGGGAAACGCTGCACAAAGATAGACCCGGAGTTCCGCGCGAACTCCTTGGCTCGGCGCTGGGCACCCCTGGCGGCGCCTCCAGAACCGCTCCTTCGCGCTCCGCGCGCTGGGTGTGTGGGGGGGTTCCAGCGGAGATCCACGAAATCCTCGCGGAGCGTCGAACGTTTAGATGTGTATCCTATTTTCTGTCCCTTCCCTGCCTCGCTCACCCAGAAGAGGAAAGTTGGGAGTGTCCCCGGACATATAGACTGGCGACTCGAAGAAATCGCGCCGCAGCTTTGAGACCCAGCTTGTGGCGACCTGGGGGGGGTGCTTTCCGGGCCCCAGGAGCCTTCAAACAATTGCCCGTGATGGAAGGCCTGCGATTGTGAAATCGGTCCAGCGTTCGGGGTCCAGCGATCGGCGGCGAAATCCGATACCTACCCTCAATGATCAGGGATTCAGGCAACCCGATGGGCGGCATGGGTAGAGTTCGGACTTCGTCGAACACGTGGCCAAATCCGAACCCTGCCCCCGCCGATCATCGATTCAGGAGAATCGGTTATTGGGGGGGGGGGTGATTAGGGTTCGGATGTCGCCACCAATCGAACTGTCGGATGTCTGGGGTCGGCGGCGGTGGTGGCGTGTGCCTTTTTGGGCGCCCTCGCGGGGGGCATTCCTGCGCAACCGCGCGCCGTGGAGCCGGCAGGCTCCGGGCCCACTCGAGGTTGTGGTGGCGGTGAGGTTTCTTTTCCCTATCTTCTTTATCTTCTTTGTCGTCTTTGTCGTCGTTGTCGCCATTGTCGTCGTCGTTGTCATCGTCTTTGTTGTAGTCGTCGTCGTCGTCGTCGTCGTCGTGGTCGTCGTCGTCGTCGTGGTCGTCGTCGTCGTCGTTGTCGTCTTGGTTGTCTTTGTCGTCTTTGTCGTCTTTGTCGTCTTTGTCGTTTTTGTCGTCTTTGTCGTCTTTGTCTTCGTCGTTGTCTTCGTCCTTGTCTTTGTCGTCGTCTTTGTCGTCTTCTTTGTCGTCGTCGTCGTCGTCGTCGTCGTCGTCGTCGTCGTCGTCGTCCCCTTCCTCTTAAACTTTGGCCAGTTCTAGCATCGTGGAGTCGCGGGGCCCCCTTCCCACCAGCCGGCAAGACCCAACAGTTCTCTCATCAGAGGGACGCGCCTGCTTCTGACACACCTTTCCGATGGGGCCCCCTTGCCACTTGTCCATCTGCCCCCCCCTCGGGCTGATGAGGTGGTAGTTTAGTCTCGAGGCCTGAGGCTGCCACTCCTCCACTTGAGCGGCGTTGGCAAACGGCGTCGACTGCGCCGACATGCGCGCGTAAGCTTCTCGCGTAAGGTCGCTCGTGAGCGCCCTCTTCTCCACTCGGTGTGCCACGCCGGCGGGCCGCGCAGGCCGCGGCGCAAGGGCGCTATGCCATCTCGCGCAAGACCCGTTTCCTCAGACCCCGTTCCTTCCGGTCGCTCGCTCGCCCCGCCGCGCCCCTCGGGCCGACGAGGTGGCAGCCCAGGCTCGAGGCCCAAGGCTCTGCCGCTCCTCCGCCTGCGGCCTGCGCGCCTGCCGCCCCGGGGCTGCGCTCGCCCTGGCCGCCGGCGCTCCGCGCCATGCGCCCGCGCGCCGCGCGGCGGCGACCCGCCCCCCTCGCGGCGCTGGCCCTCGCGGCGCCGCCGCTGGCCGCCCTCGGCCGCCGCGGGGCGCCCGCGCTGGCGCCGGGCGCCCCGCGCCTGGCCGCGCGGGCGCCGGGCCGCGGGGGGCGCCTGCCGCGCCGCGCGGGCGCCCGCGCCCGACGCGCCGCGCTGGGCCTGCGGCGCCCCGGCCGGGCGCCCCGCCGGCGCCGCGCCCGGGCGAGGGGCGGCGGCGCGGGGGCGCCGCGCGCCCCGCGGCCGCCGCGCCGCCGGGGCCCGCCGGCGGGACGTCGCCGGTGCTCTTTGGGGGCCCCCAGACGGAGGCGGTGGCCACGGCGTGCGGCGGATCGGCGGGGAAGCTCGGGGCGGCCGCGCGGTTCGTTCGGGGCTCGGGCCGTTGTGCCGAGGCTGTGTCTCGGGCGGCCGGGGCCGCCAGGGCCTCCCCAGGGCGGTCTGGGCGGCGGGCGGCCGTGCGGAGAGGTCCTTGGAGATTCCGGGGTCACCGCACGGCACCGCCCCGTCTCGGGACCCCCAAGGTGCTGGGCCCGGGGGGCCCGCCGGCGCGCTTCGATTCGGCGTCCGTGGGCGGCGTCTGGGTGCAGCCGCCCAGCGGCGGCTCTCCGTGGCGGATGTACTATCGCTTGGGGGTTCAAAGGCGGGGCACTGAGGGATGGGGTCCTGCTGATGGGGGCGGGCTTCTGGGTGGAAGATGCACCGCTCAGGGCCCCCTCGCGCCAGGGCTCCACGTCTTTCAGGGCCCCATCTTCGGATTGCCGATGTCACGGGAGGAGCCAGGAGGCAGACCCCGCGGTGGTCCCTCTCTCCATGGGCGCCATCGGCGTGGCCGAGAGCAGCGACGGCCGCGCCTGGCGCAAGGTGGACGGGCCGCACCCGGGCGGCGCCGTCCTCCCGCCGAGCACCGAGCCCGGGGCCTTCGACGCGGCGCTGGTGGGGATGGGCAGCGTGGAGGGGTCCAGGCTCTACTACTTCGGGGGCAGCCGCGAGCCCTTCCAGATGGGAGGCAGGGCGCTCACCGGCGTGCTCCAGAGCGTTGGCGTCGCCGAGTGGGACGGCGCCGCCTGGCAGCGGCGGGGGGAGGTGCTGGGCCGCGGCGCGCCTGGCTCCTTCGACGAGGTGTTCGTCGCGTCGCCCCAGGTGGTGCGGCACGGCCCGGGCGAGTGGCGCATGTACTACCACGGGGCGGGCGGCGGCGACCGCAGGTTCCGCGTCGGCCTGGCGGTGTCGGCGGACGGCCTCGAGTGGCGCCGGGCGGGGGCCGTCCTGTGCCCGGGCGAGGGCGGCGCGTGGGACGCGGGCGGCTGCAGCCGCAGGCACGTCTTCCGCCTGGAGGGCGCGGCCGGCGGCTACGGGATGCTCTACGAGGCCACCTCGGCCGCGGGGCGGCACGGCTTTGGCCTCGCCCTGTCGCCCGACGGGCTCGAGTGGCGGCGCGAAGGCGACGGCCCCGTCTTCGCGCCCCCGGAGGACCCGGGCGCGTGGGACGGCAGGGCGGTGAGCGCGCCATGCCTGGTGCGGAGCCCAGGTGGCGATCGCCTGCTGTACTACGTCGGCCTGGACGGGGCGGGGGCGGCGGCCGTGGGGATGGCCCGCGCCGACGGCGACGGCCTGCGCGGGTTCTCGCGAGTGTAAGCGGCGCGCGCGCGCGATGGAGGTTCGCGCGGCGAGGGCGTGCGCGGTCTCGCGCGCGTGGGGGCGCGCCGTCCTCGCCGCAGCCGTTCACGCGAGCGCGCGCGTGCGCGAGGGGCGGCCGAGGCGTCGCCGGAGCAACGAGCAGCCTTTGGGGGTCGGAGGGGGCTTGGCGCTTGTGCTCGGGGTGCCCCCCCCACCACACACAGGAAACAGTTCGCTCCGCCTGAGCCAGGAATGGTGGCAATAGAAATGGTACGCATTCGAATGGTTCTATGCATTTGAATAGTAATATGATCATCTCGAAGATAATCATAGTAACAACCATGTCGGCCTCTGGAGGCTTTGAAGACTCCAGGGGCTTCAGAGACTGTCGGAGAACCCTGGAGGCTTCCAATGTCTTGATTGAAGAAACGGATCAAGACGGAGGCTTAAGCTTTCGCCATTTTGCCATTTTCGTTCTCTTGGGGGCTGGCTTCGGCCCCCAGGACCGTCAGACGCAGTTCGGAAAGAAATGCGGGTTCCCAGGAAGGGGTCGAGAGCTCCGCGAACCGCTTGTTGAATGAAGCAAGGCATCGCAATTGGGTTGCTTCCTCCTCTCTCTGATTCCCCGTCCTCGTCCTCATTCTCCTCTCCCCCCGTCCCCATTTCTCGTCCTCTTCCTCTTCGTCTTGGTCCTGCTGCTGTCTCCTCCTCTTCCTTGTATTTACCCTCGTCTTCGTCCTCGTCCCCGTTCCCATCCGCGTCCTCGTTCACCTAGTCCGTCGTCGTCGTCGTCGTCGTCGTCCTTGTCCTTGTCCTTGTCCTTGTCTGTCTCCTTGTCTTGATCCTCTGCCGTCCTCATCCTTCTTGTCCCTGATCTCGTCCTCGTTGTCGTCGTCTTCCTCCTTCTCTCTGATCCTCCTCCTCGCCGTCCTCGTCCGTGCCCTCGGCCTCGCCCTCCTCGTCCTCGTCCTTGTTGTCGTCTGCCCCGTCCCCGCGACGCGCGACGCGCGGGCGGACCCTGCTAGGTGCGGGAGCGCATCAACCTGTATTCCTCCGTGCTGCACCAGTGCATCGAGGAGAACAAGGAGGAGCCGCGGCCTCGCCTCGCCCCTCCGCTTCTCTTCGCGCTGAGGGTCGGTCTCTCCGCGCGGGGGCGGAGCCCTCGACGCCCTCCTCCTCCTCCTCCTCCCTCCTCCCTCCTCCTCCTCCTCCTCCTCCTCCTCCCTCCTCCTCCTCCTCCTCCTCCTCCTCCTCCTCCTCCTCCTCCTCCTCCTCCTCTCCTCCCTCCTCCTCCTCCTCCCCCCCCTCCTCCCTCCTCCCTCCTCCCTCCTCCCTCCTCCCTCCTCTCTCCCTGCTCGCTCTGCCCCCTCGCTCGCTCTTCCTGCTCCTCTTCATTCTCCTCCCTTCTCCAGCCTCCTCCCTTCCTTCCTGCTTCCTCCTGCTTCTCCTCCTCCTGCTTCTCCTCCTCCTCCTCCTCCTCCTCCTCCTCCTCCTCCTCCTCCTCCTCCTCCTCCTCCTCCCCGCTATCAGATGGTGGCAGTGAAGCGGCGCGCCCAGGTCCCTGCGCGCCCGCTGACATCAAGACCGACGCTCCTCCCTCCCTCCCTCCCTCCCTCCCTCCCTCCCTCCTCCCTCCTTCTCGCCCCCTCCTCTCTCCTCTTCCCCCGCTTCTCCCTCCTCCTCCTCCTCCTCCTCCTTTTTACGTTAGACCGACATGAGGTGCGAGCCTGTTGCGTTTGTCCTCCTCCTCCTGCTCTTTCTCGTCCTCCTCCTTCTGCTCCTCCTCCTACTCTTTCTCCTCCTCCTTACAGCCTCACAGTAGCGGCCATCTGGTCCGCACGGACCGTGGCCGTGGGTGACGGGGTCCACCTCTCCCCTGCCTCTCAGAAGGGCATCGACTTGTGGATGCCGTCCTTGCACTCCTTGTGCCTCGCGAGGCTCTTTGCGACGGGGGAGCAGGGTGCGCCCCCGACCTTCTCTTCTTTGGCTAGCTGCGGCGGCGCTGCGCGCAGCTGGGGCCTGCTCTTCTCGGAGCCAGCCCGGCACTCGGGCTGCGGGCCGCCTCGTGGGGACGCCGACTTCTTCTTTGGTACTTCGCTGTCTTCCTCTTGCTGGCAGTCCGCCCTTCGGCCCTCAGGCTGCGGGCTGCCATGCGAATGAGGCGGGTACTTTTCCCTTCCTCTGGCTTCTTTGTTGCTCGGGGATGGTGAGTTTCCCTGCCTTTCCGCATTTCGCCCGTCGTTGTGCTTTTCTTCTTTGCTTTGCGACTGGGCGGCTGGGGCCCCCCAGACCTTCTCTCGTATTGTGGGGCTGGCAGTTCACCTCGCGCTTGTCTTCCATGTGCTCCTCCCTGTGGTCGGCAGGCTCGCCCTTCGGCCCCTGAGGGATGCGAGCCTGCCGCTGGTCACGGGGGGATGCTGCGGTCTGTGCTGGAAGGTATGGGTGGTGAGGATCCTCTGCTGGGTCACCTGGATCTTCTTCCCTATCGTTGGTGATGTCCTCGCGGCCGATGCTGTCCTCGTCGTGGATGTTGTGGTCTGCTCTTGGGTTTCCAGCACCACGTGGCGACTGGAGCCTGAGGTGTTCCCACGGGTTCGGGGCTTCCTCGGGACTCTGCGTCCTAACATCTCCAGCACAACCTGGCGATCGCGGCATCTGTGCGCGAGGGTCAGGTGCTTGACGAGGCGCTGGAAGGTGTGGAACTCGGTCTGGCAACTTCTGCACGCAGTGCCTGTGGCTCATCTCCTGGGATTTGCTTCGTGTTTATGATCCCTTCCAGTGTGGACTGCCATGCCCTGCTTCGTTCTGGTGGTTCTCCCGCATAGATCGCATACGTAGTTGAGGGGGATGGCGTTCTCTGTCGGAGCTGCGTCGTGGGCAGTAATGCCCATTCCGATGTCTTTCATCAGCTTCTCGTGCTGGGCTTGGTCGCGGGTGTACTTGACGTATACTTTTGTCGCCGTCTTGACCGCGTTGGTGAACTCCTTGGGTCGCTTCCTCGCCCATGATCTAATGTTTTCGTCCCGCTCTCTCTTGCTCGACCACCTGTCGGACGGTAGGTGCTTGCGGAGAAAGACGGAGTTTTGTTGGAGCTGAGAGCTCCAGGTACCTTTGCGCTGTCGTTGGGCGCCAAGTAGCTGGTGCAGCGCGAGGGGTCCGTGTTGGAGTAGTCGAGGTAGGAACCCTAGTCGTGCGGCAGTGTGGTGGATGGCGAAGTCGGGTACACCAGTCCTGCCGATCGCCTCCTTGTTGGTGATGTGCTGTTCGGGGCTGTTGGTCTTCGGGAGGAGCGCAGCAACGCGGTATGGTCCCGTGTCGTTGGTTGCGATACAATCGTAGTGCTTCTTGGTGAGGCGGTTCCAGATGTGGTGGTTCTATGTAAGGGATGAGGTGGACAGGGCGTTGACGTACTTTAGCTTCTTTCTTCGGAGGACCTGCGTCTCGAGACGTCGCTCGACGCCCAAGTTGCGATTGACTCTTTACCTTACCTCAGGGCCCATAACCCCGCCGGCCGCGATGATGGTACCGTGGGCCCTTTGCTGGGTCATCAGCTGTATCTTGATGTTGAGGCCTTCGAGCTCGATGTGATTGATCTTCTCTTTTGCGATCCTCTGACGCTCTTTTCTTGCTCCGCTGCCGTAGTGCATAAGGATGGCCTTGGTCTTTTCTGGGTGGGGCTTGAGGCCGTGCTGGTATGCTACTGTGCAGAGCCTGGTGGCTGATAGTCGGGTGACGTCGACTAGTGCCTTGGCTGTCTCAGTCGAGTTGTAGTCGGTGAGGTCGTCGACGAAGGACATATTTCTGAGCGTAGTCCCCTGGTGGGGTGTTGCAGAGAAGAGTGGAGCGTCACATGCCTCAACCTCATGTCCTCCTGGATGGCAGTTGTCCTCGGTAGTTGTTGATGCAGCCGCTTCGATCGCTTTGGGCAGGATAGCTAAGTGCGCGTTGAAGGCCACATCTGAATATTGTACCCCTGGTCTAGTACCAGTGCGGGGGATCTGGTAGTGGGACGCGTTCTTGGCGGTCATCCAGTTGGTGGTGTGGTACTCTGCGATCGTGACGCAAAGGTGCTCGTCATTGATGTTCTGGTTGTTGTAAGCTGACTGCCTGAGGCGGTCGAGCAGTGATGGCTTGAGGAAATTTGGGAATCTCGGCCAACTCTATGATGTCGTTAAGCTCCGAGGTGGTCGTTGGTGTTTGCATGCAGAACTCCTTTATAACTGAGTGGAAGGCCTCGCGGAGATCGAGGAATGTGATGCTGCATGATCTGGCTCGTCTTTGGCAGTCGGTGATGAACGCCAGCGTGGTGTGCGTGACGAATCCGTCGCCGACTAATGTCTGGCCCCGCATTGCGTCGCATGGAGTAGCTCTGGCAGTACGTAGGCCTTTTACTCGTGGGCGGAGGTAGCTGCTGTGCATCTTGCCGATGGCGTTGTTAAGCAATATGCCTCGGTATGGCTTCTGGTACTCCATTGGTCCAGCTCCTTTGTGAAAGTGGGTCGAGTAACCTCCTCTGGCGGCGATGGGCTCTTTGCACTCGATCTGCGTCTTCACGAGGATGGGGTGGAGGATCCTTGCCATTCCTTCAGGGTCTGCTTTGGACATATCGTCTGTGAGCTGATCTGATCCTCCGCGTCTTCCTCGTTTCGCTGATTCGAGATGGCTGGTGAGCTGGTGTCGTGTCATGATTTGTTGATGGTGGGCGGTGGTTGCTGGGCGTTGGTTCTGAGGTTGTAGTCGTGTGCGACTCCGTCTGATTAGAGGGGTGGGGAGCTTCTTTGGTTTTTCCCTTCCAAATGCTAGTAGTGGTTTGGCGAGTTGTGCTTCTTCTCGTGGTGCTCTATCATCGATAGCAGTGTTCATGTCGTCGGCCGTTCTTTCCAGAAACTCGTTGCTGTCGTCCTCAATCCAAGTTTGTAGGAGGTGTCTTGAGGTCTTCAGAGATTTGATGACAGCCTCGTAGGAATTTACAACCCCGTCTAGGCTGTCAGCTTGTACATTGCTGAGCTGGACTCGAT